AGGGTAGGGGTTTGATAGCTTAGGTTACAGAAATACTGGCATTATTAACTTGCTTTGAGCCAACATTTCATACTCGCAAATGCACCTTGCTGGGCTGTACAAAATGAGACCTTCTTTTATGACCATCAGAGACCCCCCTCTGATTTTTAGGTCCCAGCAAAAGTCAGCCTGAACCAGGTACAGTGGCACACACCCATCAATCATCCCAGTGACCCAGGAGGCTGAGGCAGCAGGATTGCAAGTTCGAAGCCAACCTCAGACACTTAGGCCTTGAGCAACTTAACAAGACCCTGTTGCAAAATAAAAAATAAACAAATAAACAAAATGGCTGGGGATGTGTCTCTGTGGTAGAGAACCCCTGGGTATAATATAATATAAAATACTCAAAAAAAAAAAAAGCCATCCTGATATGGCAGGGTGATTATGACTCACAATAAAACATTGTATGTTTCAAAACAGAAGATTTTCATCACTAGCAATAAGAGCACTGATTTCATTCAGGTTGAAATGTTTACCCTGTCGTGTGTTGCCATGGCCAAGTTCACCCCCTTAGCAAATAAAACATACAGGGAAATTAGAAATTGTGGCTTTGCTTTCTTTCCTGTGGGGAGACTTCCTCCTGCATTGGGTGCTGAATAGTTGGCCGGTTTCACAAGCCCTGGCCTGTCTTTTCTGTGTACCAGGTAATAAATGGCCTCAATCAGCAAAATTAACCTTTGGTCATTTCGCAGCCTGCATGACTGCGGTGTTCTAGCCGAGGCCTGGGCCGGGAGATGGGACAAAGAGTTTGAAGATAAAATGTCCCGTCTTTGTCCCATCTCCTAAACTGTCCCCAGCCTAAACTAGATCACTGTGGTCATGCAGACCATGAAGTGACCAAAGATTGATTTTGCTGATTGGGGCCATTTATCATCTGGTACGTGCCCATCTGAAGCCTTCTTTATGAGTACTCCGTGATCTTCTGCCATTCGAACCTCCTGGACCTAACGTCTCCTGGTGGCTTTGGGTTGTTTCCAGTTTGTCTGTCTTCCATGCCAGGCTGGCCTGATGACCCTTAGTGATTCCCATTCCTGTGCTCTGTGAGATGACTTTGGTGATATGGAGGCTGCCTGGGCCTGGGTTGTCTTGTGAGAACTCGGATGCAGCACAGAGCCAGGTAAATGTGACCTTGAATGTGGCCTCATTCAAGTTCAAGGGTAATTTACCCCTCAAGATTCCTGGACTATCGAGTGGCAAACACCGGATTGCTAAAATGACCCGTTCAAACCAGGGGGCCTTGCAGAGTCAAATAAGGAGTTCTCGGGGACAGCCCAGGGAAGGCATGTCATTGCTGGGGGGAGTGACTGAAAGCCATTGAGCCAGCAGAGCGAGTGACCCTAATTGGCATAGAGGGCTCACTAGCCCTACTGAGAAGGTGCTGGAGAAGCAAGAACTAACACACGGTCCCCTCTCCAAGCTTTTTCCAAGGCGCCAAGGAAGGGTGGCCTAGTTATCTGCTCCTCTAGAGTGAATAGGAAGCCAGGAGGAAGGGTCCCAGAGGGTCACTCCCATGTCCTTTGATGATCGGTTGGAGACTATTTTCTTGTCCTTTCTCTCACAACCCTTTCCTGTGGACTTAGTTTCTGTTTGTTTAGGAATTTGTCCCAGTGTAGGCCATAACCGTTAGAGTGGCATTCACCCTTCAGGCCTGGCCTGGCCTGTGACGGAGCCTGTAGCCCACCTGCTCCTGTTGGTGGCCACGGATCAGAGATGTGAACCCGTGGGCAGGAGCTAGAGGTCCCCTCTCTCCCTCATGTATGTACCTGTCATCGACTTACCTACCTATTATCCATGCTCTGGGCGTGTGTTATACGAATGCATATACACATACAACTTGTTATAGATGTAGACTTAGGTGTATTTACATATTTGAGCAAATATACACATTCTCTCTGTGTAATTGTCTCTCAGTATCTACGGGGATTGATTCCAGGACCCCATACAGATATCAAAATCCTTGGTGCTCAAATCTCTGATGGAAAATGGCTTAGTATTTAAATATGCCTCACACAATCCTGCTGTGTAGTTTAAGACATCTCTAGATTAGTTAGAGCTATGTGAACAGCTGTGATACTGTGTTGTGAAGGAACGAGGGAGTGGCCACCGCCCCCCTCCATTCCTTCCCCAGATGCTCCCTGTTCTGCCTTGCATCACCGTGTATCAGTTCACTTGCTCTTGAACTTGGGTCATGTCGGACCTTACTGCTCTTTTGTGTCCAGCTGTCTTTCCCTCACCCTTAAATCTATGAGACTCCCCCATGCATTGTATTCTGCATGGAGCAGAAGTTCCACCTCTGTTCCTTTTTTACTTTTTGGAGGTGCTGGGGATGGAACTCAGAGCCTCACTCATGCAGGGTAAAGCCTGCTACCACAGAGCTACACCTACAGCCCAGAAATTCAGAGTTTGTTATTGCTGAATAGTATTTCATGGTATGAATGGGGCAAAATTCATTGACTTATTCTGCTGTTGGATGACATTTGTGTGTTTTTCAAATGGTTGGCTTTTAGGAAAAAAAAAAAAAAAGTTTCTGTAAACATTCCTGTCATCTTTTGGTAGATATACTCATTTCTCTTGAGCTGGTATACCTGTATCTATTTTTAATTTCTTGGCATCATTTAGCTTTTTTTAAAAAACTTAGTCCTAATCACTTATGTATGACAGTAGAAAGCTTTTTGATTCATTGTACACAAATGGAGCAGAATTTTTCACTCCTCTGGTTGTACATGAAGCAGTCACACCATTCGAGCAATCATACATGTAACTAGGGTAATGATGTCTATCTGATTCCACCATCTTTCCAACCTCTCTGCTCCCTCCCCACTCCCCTTTGCCCCATCCAAAATCATTTAGCTTTTTTAGATGTCATATGTGTTGGCACACCGCGGGAGTTATAGGAACTGGGCTACTATTGGGATACATATGAAGAAATGGGTTCTATTTCTATGTTATGAGAAATAATTTTCAATTATTTCAGCATAACATTCAGTCTTCACAGCACTGCAGTTTGTACAGATGTTCCTGCTTGCGAAACTCATTCATTAGTCAGAATTCTCTTTCATTTGCAAATCACAGAGAACCCAGCTCTGCTTAGGAAAAAAAAATAATAATTTAAGGGTTCAGGTATCCACTGGGCATCTGCCTTCAGGCATAGCTATGTCCAGGTGCTTTAACAGTTCATCAGCCCTGATCATTCATCCTGTCTATCTCTTGGCTCTGTTCTCTCCTCGTTGGCAATCTTAGGAAAACCTTCTCCAGTGGTAACCACTGGCAGCTCCAGACTAAAACTTCCTAACTCCAAGCCCCAGGGAAAGACAGAGCTTCTCTCTTTCCTACAGTTCTGACATATCTCCCAGATCTGAAGCTCACTGGCTCTGACTGGGTTATACGCTTTGACCCCATCACCGCGGCTAGGAAGAAAATCATTCAGATGAGGTCCTGGCCTGCAGGGTCTCGGGGTGAGGTACTCAACAAAACATGTTACCCCCAAAGGGAACAATGGATGCTGGGCAGAAACAAAATAAAGAAGAACAGACTTCAGCTAAGCCAAGACTTGTGGGAACAAGTTGGCAAACTAACACTGAAACCACAGGGGACCGCAGAAAGTTAATATTGTCTTTAGCTTTGATAAGGTTGAGGCCTTTGTCATTTACATAGAGATAAACTTGTAAAGTTGGCAGAGCTTCAAGAATGTTCTACTTCCTTCTTCCAAAGCATCACCATATTCTAATCATGCTGACTTGAAACTGGAGAGATGTTTTTTTTTTTTTCCCTTTTAATTTGTATTCTTCCCATATTGGGTTAGCCAACAAATCCCCTACTGACTCTTCATTTAAATTTTCTCCCCTATGTATTTTCTTCTCTGTTCCCACTGACAACCACACCAGGTGCTGCAGGCTGATGTCCTGTCTCTCAAAATAAGACCATCCCTCTCCCAGTCTGGTCCACGTCCTGAAGGGCTGATGAGTCAAATCCTGGGGACAAGGGGTTGATGGACACTGATTGGCCAGGCCTGGGTCATGTGACCTCCCTGGAGTTGGTCAGGGGTGCCATCAACCCTTCCTGTTCCACTTGGACCAAGGGTGGGAGAAGGGAAGATGGTTTGAGGAAAATCGGGGCATTGATTGGAAAAGAAGGGGAAGTGGGTAAACATGTAGGAAAATACAAATATTCTAGGAGTTAACCTCATCACTTCTGACTGGGAAGTAGGCTGTGTCTGCAGATGAGAGCTCAGGGGACTCACCAATCATATTTTCAAGCTGGTAGAGGTCATAGCAATTGTCACCATTCTGTCTTTATCCCTAGAAACAGGATTGCAAGCAAAATGCCTCAAAAGTTCCAGTTCCTTCTAATCCTTAGATTCATTGCTTCTTTTGCCCCAACCAAGGGAATGCATTGTTTAAGAGATCATTCCCGTTGCATGTGTGCAATACACAGAGAAACAGTAGTTGAAACAAGATATAAAAGTTCATTCTCTCTCCCACGAGAGTCTGGGCTGATATGAAGGCTCTGCCCCAGGAAGTCACAGGTGACCCAGGCTCTCTCCACACACAGTGCTGCTGTCCCTGCAGCAGATGCTGCCTTAGTGTGCATGCTCCATGCTGCACATATCCACAACCAGTCCACAGGAAGTAAGGAGGCCTAGACAGGGAGGAATGACCCTTCCCTTTAACCGCACAATCTGGAAGTTGCATAAATTGCATCCACTCACATCCCACTGACCTCTGTCATGGCCACAGATGGTGCAAAGGAGCCTGGGAAACATGGTCTTTGCTCTAGGCAGCTGTGCACCCAGCTGTGTGAGAAGAGATAACTGGAAGATAACCAGCAATCTTTGCAAAGAAGAAAGAGGGGAAAAAAATCTTAATTTTTCCTTTTTTTTTTTTTCAGGTTTATAAAAGATCCCAAAGGAACTACAAATACAGGAAAGTTTTAACACTCTGGGGTAAAGAGTCTGTGCCATCATGTCAGCCTACTACAGGAATAACAGCCTCAACGGCGACACAGAGCACCCTGACTATTCAAGGTCTCAAGGCCGTACTCGAGGGCATTTAAAAACTCAGGATTATCCAGACTTCTCAGGTCCTCAGGACAATCCAGCGTATCCCAGCACCAGGAACAATCCATTCTCTGCAGGCTTCAGAACAAATCCAGACTATCCTGTGTCTCTCACAGAACCAGATTATCCTGGATCTCCAAATAAACCAGATTATCCTGGTGCCAGGAACAATCCCTATTCTGAAGATTCCAGAACAAGTCCAGACTATCACAGATCTCTGCCAGAGCCAGATTATATTGAATCTCAGAGCCAGCCATACCATCCAGGCTCATCCAGAGAACCAGATTACCCTGGATCTCAACGAAATGCTGAATTTGCGAGTTCCAGAAGTAGTGGAAACTACCCAGGTTCCAGGATAAACCCAGGTTATTTGGGATCCCTGGCAAATCCTGACTACCCAGGAGCACAGGGTAACTCTAACCATTCTGGCCCCAGAGCCAATTCCAACCATCCAGGCTCAAGAAGGAATCAAGAACCTGCTGGTTCCAGAATCAATTCATATATAGACGACCCGGGAGAGCCTGATTATCCAGGTGCTGAGAATCAAACTGACTTTCCACACATTTGGGGGGAACCAGACTATCCCAGTGCTGAGGATTATCGGAATTCTCCAAACATTTTTGGGGAACCTGATTACCCAGGAGCCGAGAGTATTCATGGTTATGGCCCTTCTGAGACCCGGGAAATGACCAGGAGGTAAGTTCAAATATACCCCTTCATTGGTGGGACTGACTGCTAGATCAACAAGTCAATGGAGTTCCATTGATGTGGCTTTGATTACGGATGGGTATTTGATTAAGGTTTCTATAGCCTGAAGTTGTGAAACTGTCAGACCTACCTGTCCATATCCCCCGGGCTATCAACTGTCAGTCTGAGGCTCAAAGTCCTTACCTGAACTTAATCTTTCCACCTCTTGCCTGGATCACCTCCTTACTCTCTACCTCTTCCTTGTCGCTGCAAGTGACTTAGTCATTTACCTCTATAGTTGTTTTTTTCTTCTTGGCACCAGGGATTGAACCTAGGGGTGCTTAACTCCTTAGTCACATCCCCAGCCCTTTAAAAAAATATTTTATTTAGAGACAATTGCTTATGACTTCACTAAGTTGCTTAGGGCCTCACTAAATTGCTGAGGTTGGCTTTGAATTTGGGATTCTCCTGCTTCAGCCTCCATAATTGCCGGGATTATAGGCATGTGCCACCGCACTTGGTTGTTGTTTGGTTTGAGACAGTGTCTTGCTAAATTGCCCTGGTTGGCCTCCAATCTGCCCTCCTTCCACCTCAGTCACCCAAGTACCTGGGATGACAGGCGTGTGCCACCACACCCAAATCTCTTTAAGGTCACTTAAAAACACCAAATCTAATTTTGCCTGGTTTAGATGCTGTAGATCTAAATTTTCTTTAAAGGATTTTGAACTTCTGTCAACTTTTGCAGTTCTGGCACTGATAGCATTTACTCGAGTGATTTGGTTCTGCCAAATTGAATTCTCCCTGGATGAAATTTTTTGATGTTCATTTTAACAACAGTGAACATCAAGCAAGAAACTTTAGTCAGGTTTAAAAAAAAAAAAAAAAAAAAACTATAACAAATTTTGTCCTCTGAAAATTTGTTTTATTTTTGTTTATTTATCGTCGTGCAGGGGATGGAACCCAGGATCTTGCACATGCTGGGCCAGTGCTCTGCCCCTGAGCTGCCCCCTCAGACCCCATATGAAATTTTAACTGATACTGTTTTTACCAGTGATATTTATGAAGTCACTAAAAGCAGTGGTTTATGTCCGTCTCTAGGATTTGGGTGTGCAGAGTCAAACGCCTTTAGGATGTAAATAGCAGGATTAGCTTGCTCAGGTCAAAATGTCCCCCTTAGTCTTCTGCCCAGCTATCTGAGTCATCATTCTAAGGTATACCTTTGATTCTGTCACTCCTCTGCTTTGCATAGTCCTTGGGTCCCCATAGCCTGGGGGACAAAGGCCACACTTCTTATCTACTGAACCCTATGAAGGAGGATACACTGTGCTAACAGAGGACTCCAGCCCAGGGCTAGCCCGATCACTCATCTATTTCTCCTGTCCTCTTCCTGTCTGAACCCTACACTCCAGGTCTCTGGCTCTTGACCTTGACTGATCCTCAGAATTATTATATCACCTGGGGAACTTTAAATGTAATACAGATGCCCGAGCCCAACCTTCAGAGCTTCTGATTCAATTGTCTGGGATGGGGCTTGGGAAATGGTATACATAAAATCAACAATCTTTGCCACAGATTAATTGATTTTTATAGCCTTCCCTTTATGTATTCAGCAGTTTCTGGCCTCATGCCTTTATTTATGCCGTTTCTTATACTTGCAATGCCCTCCCCTGTGTGAGATATGAATTTATCTTTCCAGTCTCCTCTCAGATGTCTCTTTTCCATGAAGATCCCTCTAAAACTCCCAGCCAGAATTCCTCTCTCCTTCTTCTGAATTCCTTGGACCTGTCTCCTGATACTCACTAATTTCTGATTGTATTATAATTATTCATTGCTGTCTCTAAGAAGCTGTGCCAGGTTGTGTTGGGAGTCTCTTGGGGGCAAATACCCCCAGTCTTTCTCTTGGTGCCCTCACTGCCCAGCCCATGCCTCACATATTGTTGGCTTTCAGTCAGCATTTGTGGGATGGATGGATGGTGGGTGGGTGGATGGGTGGATGGGTGGATGTATGGATGGATGGGTGGATGGATGGATGGATGGATGGATGGGTGGATGGATGGATGGATGGATGGGTGGATGGGTGGATGGGTGGATGGATGGATGAATAGATGGGTGGATGGATAGATGGGTGGATGGGTGGATGGGTGGATGGGTGGATGAATGGATGAATGGATGGATGGGTGGATGGGTGGATAAATGAATGGGTGGATGGATGGATAGATGAATAGATGGGTGGATGGATGGATGGATGGATGAGTGGATGAATGGGTGGATGGATAGATGGATAAGTGGGTAAATGGATGAACAGATGAATGAGTAGATGAATAGATGAGTGGTATATGGATTGATAGGTAGATGAGTGAATGGATGGGTGGATGGATGGATGGACAGACAGACGGACAGCTGTCCTCACCACACTACTGGATGGATGGTGACCCATGTTTTGAGATTTTACAGTGTTCAGTAAAACATCTTCAACCCTGCCCTCATTCCATTGCAGGAGTAATGCCTCCTTGGGCGTCCTTAGGAGAGAGAGTGAAGATTACCCTGGAAGTTTTGAAATGACGTCCATGGAGATGGCAGATCCACGCGACCCATCTCTGCCAGGTGCTCCTGGAAAGGGCTATGGTAAGGGCGTCTTAACAGGAGGATCGCACTCTGGGAAGGAAATAAAATCCAGGGGGCTCAGGAGGCTACCATTAAGCAGTCATAGCAATAGAAGAATTGGCTCATCCCTCCCGCCTCAAACACTCTCCTTAGACACAAGAGTTGGGAACTCTGTCCAGGGAAGCCACGTGTCATCAATTACCAAAGTAGGCCAAGGAAGGCATGTGAAAAATGGAAGCCTGTTCACCCTGTGCCTACCCAAGGTGCTGAAGTTCAGTCTGGCCTGCCGCAGTCCGGCTGCAGCAAAATAACTGGGGGGTGACGAGCAACTTGTGTACATTGATACAGCAGGAGTGGGAGCCGTTTATTGTAGGACAGGAGGGGTATATATACATTCCACACAGCTTATCTTAATTAACTTAAACTAGATACAGCAGTCAACCAATAAGGAATCTCCACACTTAATGGCTCGCTGGCGTTACTTCACAAACCACTCCCTCTGGCAAAATGCCAGGCGCCATCCAGACTTGTTTACAGACCCTAACATTGGCCCATGGTGGTTATGGTAGGAACAGGCTCAGCATGATGAGATCCTGAGAGTTTTCAAAGAAAACAGAAACACACACACACACACACACACACACACACACACACACAAAACAACTATGTAAAAAAACTCCTATAATTGTCCACTTTCTGTTGCTTTAGTAAAATACCTGATGCTGGGACCTTTATTTTTAAAAGAGGTTTATATATCTTTTACTTATTTATTTGTTTATTTTTGTAGTCCTAGGAATTTAACCCAAGATTCTCTACCACTGGGCTACACCCCCAGCCCTTATCGATTCCTTTACTTATTTTTATTTTGAGACAGGGTCTCACTCTGTTGTCCAGGCTGGCTTTGAATTGACGATCCTCTGGCCTCGGTCTCCCAAGTTGCTGGGATTACAGGCGTGTACCACCGTGCCTGGCCTAAAAAAAGAGGTTTATTTAGCTTATAGTTTGGGAGGCTGGCAAATCCACATTCTTACCTTCCAGGTGGGAAAAGGAACTGTTTGCTTCTTTGGAGAAACTAGTTCATGATAAAAGAGGAAAAACCCAGGCAGTGTTACGGGAATCTAGAGCCTGTGGGGGCCAGAAGGGGAGGGAGGTTCGACCTAGATCAGCCGTGCTGGGAGGTGCAGAGGGAGGCCTGACCAGCCTCGGAGGGGGGGAGTTTTGAGGAGGCAGAGAGGACGGTCAGGATATACCTCCATGGACACATGCTCGCTGGCCCATGATGGGGTCACGTCCTGAGAAACCCTCATCAATGATTGAGGCTGCATATACCTGACCTAGGGAATACTCAGCCCAGCTACGCAGCATACAGTACAGCGCTGTGCCCCTGTGATCACAGGAGCTAATGGGAGCTGCGAACTGCTGCCACTGCCCAGCATCTGGAATCACGCATCGTATTCTAGCCTGGAAAGTTTCAGTATTCTCCTCCCCTCCCCCTCCTCCTCCTCCTCCCCCCCTCCATCTCCTCCTCCACCTCTTCCACCTCCTCCCCCAGTTCCTCCCCCTCCTCCTCCTCCCCCTCCTTCTCCTTTCCTCCTCCTTCCCTTTCTTCCCCCTCCTCCTCCTCCCTCCTCCTCCACCTCCTCCTTCTCCTTCTCTTCCTCCCCCTCCCCCACCCCCTCGTCCTCCCCCTCCCCCTCC